GCTCAGGTAAGGATCTAAGAATCCTTCTCACTATCTTAGGTTCAGGGATTTTCTCACTTAGGTTGAAGGACAAATTTACTATATCATTTAAGCTCACATAAAAGACATCAAACATCTCATCGTCTCTCATTTTTATCTCTTCAAACCTAGTGGCCAACATCTGTAGCTTAGAACTCTTAACTGCCTGAGTTCCTTCATGTGTGGTTTCTAAAATATCCCAAGCTTCCTTTGCTACCTCATACATGGACATTCTTCTAAACTCCTCGAGGGAAACTGCCATAAATAGGGCATGGAGGGCTTTGCTATTTAAATTACAGCTATCCAATTGAGCTCTAGACCAGTTCTCGACAGGGGTGGGAGTGACTACACCATCTATTGTGGTACTAGGGATAGACAAACCATTTAACACAATTTGCCAAACACGCTCATCTAAGGATTTCAAAAACGCTGTCATTCTCACCTTCCAATACGCATAATTGTTCCCATCAAAGTGGGGTGGCACATTCAACGACATCCTCATCTAGACTAATGTAAGGTCAGGAATCGAACTTAGGCTTTGATACCACTTAAAAGTTCAAGGAACGTTCTACAACCACTTGGAAATTCACGAAGAACCTTATGTTACGTCGAATTCAAGTTTTAGATATTGCCAAGTTTACGTTCCAAACAATTTATTATTCGACCTCACTGTGAAATTGATTAATCAAAGCAACACGTTACTTTAATTAATTGTCTTGGTGATTAAACGTACAGTCCAGTTAATTCCTATGTTGAACTGTCGATTTGCATAAAGTAAATAAAATAATACAAAACACAACTCACGATATGACGACGGAGAAACCCCAATGTGGTTAAAACTCCGGGACCAAGCCAGTAAGTTCCACTATACCAATTTAGTCAGTACAAGTTTTGTCAAACTCCGTACCCAGTCAGACCCGCTGTTCCAGTCTCATGATCTACTGTCGTTGCTACTACTAGTCTCCTGCTAGCTTCTTGATCTACCACCTGCAGCCCAATTTGTTGTTCAATATAGCCTCCTGGTCTTTAGCTGATTGTATCACCAAGTCGAATTCCAAGAACCTCTTGTTTTTGTCTAGTTCTTGCGCTTGTCATCCACATCCCTCAATCCCCCTTTGAGAGAGTCCCTTCGTCAACAGATGAAGAAGTACTGATGTTTTGACTTCACAAACTTGATGTTTTTTCCCAAAATATTGGTTGTCGGATCACAAGAATAAGATTGATGAATTCTCCAATTGGTTGTGTTCTTGGATCTCTTCACAATGATATGAATGTGTTCTAATATGAAAGCACAATGAAGCAACCTCTTTAAATTCGTTCACGGATTTCGTATTTATAGTTGGGGGCAATTTGGAGTTTTAGGCCATGTCAAACTTTTCAAAAATCAAAAATACTATTTTTCATATAACACTGTCGCTCCAACAAAAAGCGAGCGGAGAGCGATCGACAGTACTTCGCTCGATCGAAAAGCGAGCGGCGAGCGAGCAACGTCCATTCTGCTTTTCTCGCTCGAGTGACAACAAGGCGAACAGCTAGCGAACTTCCGGCTCCGTGACCTTGATTTGAACCAAACACTCAAACCATAGTCCCTACCATCTAGCTTTGCTAAATTGCACCCTAAGTCCCTAAAATTTATAACGTTGTACAATTGAGTCCTAACTTTTGCAAATTTACAATTTAGTCCTTTTGTCCATAGAATCACCAATTAAGCTTTAGACCTAACAAAAAGTGTACAATTTTGTAACAAGTAATATAGTGGACTTTTGAGTCTAGATTATCGTTTCCATGAGGAGTATAATTCAATACTTAACTTACTATTTCTAACCCCATTTGATGAAAAGAAACATGAATTTTTATTATTGGGATTATTTGTCTAAGTACTTCTAAATAATTGAAAATAGTAATATGCACATAAAGTTAGTTTTAGAATTCAAATATGGAATGAGATATTATGGCATAACAATTTCATCTATTGACTACCTTTAAATTTAATTCAAGATTTATAACCTAATAATATTCGATCGAATTCTACTATTGTATTCAATTTACCCCTTTCGAGTTCTCATTGAGCCTATTTAACTAATTTATTCACATATCTCTATGCGAATCAATTCTTAGTTAAACAAAATATTAGGTCTAAGAATTCATATAATTATTGTAGTAATTAGTAT